ACGATTTTCCTGCTTTTCCATTTTTACGAAAACCACAGAGGCGTCTTGTTCAGCGTGCTGTCAAACCTACACTAGCAAGGAGATCGGGCTGAAACTATAGCTACAAGCTATCCAAGGATGGTACTATAGAATGTCACCTCAAGGTAGGCCTAGTGGCGTCATCTCTTGGTTAGGCCGGAAACTTATCAATCCACCCTCGTATGAACAAAGTTCTATTTTATGTCGTCTCGACGGGCTCACAGTTTACGTCTGCTGCATCAAGATTTTTAACCGAAACAGGCCAAAACCCTTATCATAACAACGTTTCACGTTAGATTCGAAAGCAATAACTTAAGAAGTTGCGATGGTATTTTTTTGTTTTTGACAACCAAGAGATTGGATGCGTCTAATCGTGAGAGAAATAAATCTGGGTCGCATTTGTGTGCCGTGGGTTTGGTACAACTGACAAATTATTAAAAGTAAAATACCTTCGAGAAGAATTGGTAAAGCTTCCTAGATCTAGAATCTATTATACAAGACCAATGTGATTAGTCGTATGGTAGGTCCATCAATCTGATGACTGATTGAACACTCATTTCCACCCATTCCAATCCTAAATCAATCATCGCATTTCACAAAAACTAGAGCATCCTATATATCCCTTACTATATTTTAGAAATCTATATCTTCCTCTTCCACCATTTTCTCCTTTTTATGCTTTTAGTAAGTAACCCTTCAGGTCTAAGAAGGTGTCCTACCAACCTATCTCACCTATTTCTAATTGATTCATAGCGCCCTCTGTTAAAAATTTGATCGCTCAAAAGAAAACGCATTCTCATCTTGAACTACCACGAATTTCATTTGAGGATGTGCCAAAAAAAAGTTGATTCTATACAAAACCTAGTAGGTAGCTAAATGTGGATTTTCCCAAGATATTAACAACTCCGTAAGCGAAATCTCATCGGAATTTCATAGATTACGATAACGACAGCATATCAAAATTAAGTCCAATTGGTTTCGCAAAAGCTTTCAATAAATAAAACAGCATCTTCTTGCACTTACGCAAGTTAGATTTTAAAATCAAGAACTTACACTGTATTCAAAATAAACTCAACAAATTTGAAATTGAAAATTGAATGCTTTCAAATATTGTGCCAAATGTATTGATGCTTCTTCAGAGAAATATAACAAAATGATGAATAAAGTGTTTTTAGAAATTGGTTCCATTATAAAATTTTGACAAAAACTCTACTAATTGTAACATTTTGTTTTGCCAAACATTGGCTGACGAAGTTTTCGTGAAAATCGTCATAATTTAGGTTTTTCTAAGTGTTTGTGATTTTGAAAAAATATATATGAATGGTATTTATTATAGTATATCTAATTTTAAACAGTTCTTTTTCATCTGTTGTTTAAATATCTACTATATAAAAGGTGCATCTAATAAAATTTTCTATTTAAGATTGACAGATGTTTCAGTACTATTCTTAACTTTGGCTTAAGAAAAATTTTAAAGTGATTAAGGCATGCAGTGTCACATTTACTTCAAGTACTACACACTAGCGATACTTTAAGCGAGAAAGTTGGTCTACAGTTATTTTAAACTGTAAACGACTTCTATAATTTGATGTTGATGACGACAAGATTTTTGCTTAAAAATGTGGAAATTTTAACAAAGTCCGTTAAATTTAACTCTACAACTGAAAACAGCAACATGCATAAAGAAACTCACCCATAAAGGCGACTATCCCGAAAGCTTGACCTATAATAAAGCACATATGTATGATAAATGTACATACATGTGCATTACAAATGCAGGATCTTCTTGTTTTTGTTTTTTTTTTGAGAAATAAGTACAATTTTCAGCCGATAATTTTACAATGTCGGCAGAACAATAAACGCATAAAATTATAATTATAGTTGATAATTATTTAAATATTCATAATAAGTAAACTTAAGTTCGAATTCTAGTGAAAGGGCCACTTAAATTGTTTCTAATATGTGGTTTTTGTTGAAGAGTGATTTAAATAACAAATATATCTCTCTACATGAATATTATGTTAATTTGTATGAATTGCAACACTCGACCTGATTTAATTCATTAAGAATAAGTTAATAAGTATCTAATGTTACAAGAATAATTTATGCTGGTAAAAAGAATTATACAGGGTGCAAAGATGTGGTTTAATAATGTTCGATAAATATATAAAATATTATACAATACGATGGAATGTTGAAACGTTCTCTGTCTAAAACAGAACTCAATGCTAGCAATGAATTTTATCTATAAAATTCATCTTTCTATAGTACCGCTGAGCAACTAACAAATAGTTTTCGTTAACGGCAAACGTTCAGTATCAAATAGTTGGAGTAATGTTTAAGTTTTTTAAAACATTTTATAAGGAACCAAAATTGTGGATCAGTTTTGCGTCAGTTTTCATAAATTTTTAAAAACCACCAACAAACAGTTTACGTATCCAGTAAAGAAAATTTTTAGACTCACCTACAATTTCCATGCCTGAAAATGACAAGTATCTCTTCGAAGGTCTTGTTTTTCGTTTCGGGGACCTTCTTGTAAGTAAAAATCCAGAAGATGGCCAACAGGAAGCTGAACGGGAGAAACGTGTAGTTATCTAAGGCGCTCTAAAACAAGATAAAAAACAACATTCAGTTTCTTAGTCATTATTTTAAAACTGATTAATACTGGAAAATACCACAAATAGCGCGGTAAACGCCATCTGTAGTACGATGCTACATTTTAAGATTACGTATGCTCCAACAAGGTCCATTTAAATATATGGATATCTACTTGCTGAAAGATACTTCCAAAAAGATCGAAATTGCTATCCGCGTCTGGCAGTTTCGACAGAATACACACCACTTCGAATTATTTTATTTGATTAATACTGAATTTTTATTTTCACTGTACCGATTTCAGTAAAACTTTTTTTGTTTGTAAGTTACATAATTTTTAACTATTTCTGATAGAAATCAAGAATTTTTCATTCTGATCACAGTTCCGGTGGAGATTTTTGTTAAATTTAGAAAGCAAAACCAAGAATAGAAGAGCAAGATCAAACTTAATACCAAGACTGGGACACTCTTGGTCTTCGTCTCACTTTGCTCATTAATGGTAAGTAATAATGCTCTTAGAATTGAAAACTCACCATTTATATTCAAATAATCCTGAACCCCGAAGGATACTCATCATATTAATTCATATTAAAATTCTGACCATTACAATATAATCCAATTAAATATCATCAAGAAATAGTAACTTTTGTGGATTAAAAAGTTGAAATGAAAATTATTCCTATTATTACTCGATTTATTTATTCATAATTTACACATAGCATGTATGGGTAATATTTAGGTCGAGTTTCAATAATTTTTAAGATTGAAACGCACCGAGTTTGGTATGCACAAACCATAGTAATTGTTATTGCCTTATGTTTGAAGCAAACCACTTTGTGTCAGTAATTGTTTAATTGGTGGCACCAACTGCAACATGTCCTGACTTAATATAATTTAATAAGGCACCGATACGAATGATTAGAAATACTGGTTCTGGTTATATCATCATGCATATACAAATGCATTTTAGACGTAATAATGGAATTAAAATTAAAACGCGTTTCTAGACACTTTCGAAAAAATTAGAATTATATAAATTACAACGGAGACACTGCAGCGACCAGTTGATCACACGTGTATGTAAGGATAACTGTGTCTATGAAGTCCTTTCTTGTAAGTAGTTTTCAATTTTCTGGCGAAGATTGTGCTAATATATTGTCAGAATCATTTTAAAACAACTTGAAGTCAAATCAGAAAAAAAATACAACTAATCCAGATGTAAAACATTCAATAATATACTTTTCTTTGAATTTTCACCCATTTCCCAAAATTGAAATACTTATACAAATTAATATATTTTCCATTGTTTAGTTTTTGTGTGTCGTCCTTGCGGTGGCGGTAACAGTCGCCCCACAGGACCTTGGTCTGTTACCGTACGATCCGTTCCAAGATGATCCTATCGAACCCCAACTGGGACAACTGACAGAATTCGAGCAAGACGATGCTGAAGCTTTTCCCCAACAACAACAGCAACAGCAACAACAACAACAAGCAGAGTTGGATCAACCTCAACAAGAAGAAGACGAGCAACAACAACAACAACAGCAGCAACAGCAGCAGCAGTTTGATGACATAGACGAATTCGACGCGTTCAGAGAGGAACCCCAATTCGAACAACAAAACGCTCCATTACAAGAAGCCGAAGAACCTCAAATGGAACAACTCAATGTCAACAGACAAGGAACGTCTGAGCCACAATTGGAACAACTGAAGAAGAAAGAGGATCATAAAAAGAAGAAGTCTACGTCGTTAGGAGCTGTTGGCCTAGGAGGTTCCAGCACACCGGTCGATCTCAAGCACGAGAAAAAAATCATCATTAAGGTAAGTGTAGTTGTACTGAATGTGAGATTGTCTGTTCGTTCGTTTGTTTATTACGATTTCAAGTCTTAACTACCCAAACGATCATCACGAAAGTTTGTACACACATTGTCAGGAGTGTAGAAACGGGCTAGGATACCTTTTATCTACAAGAAAAATGATGTTCCCGAGAGAGAGAAAAATTAGGTTTATGTGGTCATTGATGATCCTTGATACGTATTTAGAACATCAACGCGAGTAAAGCCGCAGGTAAAACCTATCATGAAATTTTGTAGATACATTGGCAGGGGTAAATAAAAGAACCCCTAGGGGTAACTTTTATCAAGAAAAAACAATACTGTTCCAGAGGAATAGAAATATTAGTTTCGTGTGATCGTCAATGATCTTTGACATGTATTTAGAATATCAACCCGGGTAAACCTATCATGAAATTTTGTAGATACATTGGCAGGGGTCAATAAAACTACACAGGGCTACCTTTTATCCAGAAAAACAATAATAATTGACATGTATTTAGGAATCAATGCGAACAAAGCCCCGGATGGTATGTAAATAAAAATTAACACTTACCCTTGATTTCAAAACAAAAATTATTTGGAATAAAATTGAGAGGACGGATGTAATCTACACACTGCATAAATTCATAGACCTAGACAGCTAAAATTTTATATAGAGGGTTCCTTTATGATGAAGACAAGAATAAGGAAGAATATTTCAAAATTCAACCCCTAAGTGAAATGGTGAAACGGTTTAGAAAAGTTTGTACCATTTTTATTTATGGTTAGATTCACTTAAAACTTGGACTGAATGCTCATTGGTCTAATTAATCAGACTCCAATTTCGGCTATATGAAAAATTCAACCTCTCAAGGGATGAAAGGGGTAACAATATTTGTATAGGAAATATTTTATTTGTGATTGAATATATTTTAAATTTGGTTTTAATAGTCACCGATACAATTAAACAAACAAAATTTTGACAGTTTTTTAAAACCAATATCCTAGTTTGCTAGTTTATTAACCCTATTGATAAAGGATATCTTGAACGGAGTGGATTGTCATATATTTCAAGATTTAATTCCTACAGTTCTCTTTAAAACGGTTACTTTAATATGAACCCTGCCTTCCTAATTTGACCCAGGTGTAATTTCTTAATCGTAATATCAAAAGTGCACTCTATGTATAACGCATTAATATTTTTGAATGCTGTTTAAGTGTTAATTTCAATTTCAATTTAATGTAATTAATTTTGAAATCAGTGAATCCGTTGTTGTCATTTTCTTTATACGAATAACTGAACTAAACGCATTTAAACTTGTAACTGAAAGAGTCTTTTTTAATTTCGGGCATTTAAAACAAGTACAATCGACTAAATTGCATGCCACAGTTCTTCTCTTTTACCACAGAGCATTAGAGACTGAAACAACTCTGAAATGAGAAAATTTCTAGACAGGAACGCAGTCGATCGGAAAAGCCCGGAAATTGAACGTTTAATTTATGTGATTACAAGTTAAGAAGCGGAAAATGTCGAACAAAAGATCAAAGGCCCACAGAATTCGGATAACAAAGCAAAAACAAATAAACAAAAAACAAACGAGTTTTACGTTTACCGTGTGTGTATTTAATTACTAAATTTGATATTGAATAGATACAATCCTTTCTAACTGTTATTGCGTAAAGCAATGGGTATGTAAATTTTACTGTACGTAATTAAATCGGTGTAAGGTACTTGTAGTAATTACTGCACTTGTTTCAACTGCTTTTACTTAGGTTTCCGAGTGAAAGTACGTTGGTGCACTATTAGATTATTCCCAGCATGCACAAAACTATTATTACTTATTAATGTCAATCTTTAAACAAAGCGTTAAACGGTATATTAAAATGAAATAATTATAGAATGAATATCTTAAAACTTATTCAAACAGTCGACGTTTTCAGATAAATTTCTTTTTATTCTTTAGTTCTTTATATTTCCCATTCTCATGGCGAAAAAAATGTATAAACAAAGCAATATTCATTTGGTGCAAAAAGAGGAGATCTCACAACTATTTAAATGAACTTTCAAAATGCAAGTAGATACCTAACTTTTCATCATCATCATAAGGTCGTCAGTCCTAAGATTGGTTCTACATGCACCTACACTTTGTCCTATCCTGAGCTAATCTTCGCATTTCCCTAAAACTACAACATCCCACATCCTTAACCTCAGAAATCGCTGAACAAACAGAATAGCTCAAAACCCCAACGCCAAAACACGACACTGTAGTTGTCCGAAGCACTTTTCGGTAACAAAGTTACCTTCTTCAGGGACTGAAGTAAACTAAACCTAAATAAGAACTAATCCTAATTTATACTGATAGTTGTTAAGATTCAGTGAACATGACCCGATGCCAACAAGGTAGATGTTCAATGGACCTTAACATCATCATCATAAACGTAATTAAACTAAACTAAATAGCGGAGATCCAGGAATAGGACCGTTGTCATTGTTAAGAATTTTTTTTTCCAATCTTCATATTTCAGAAATCGCTGTTTAAATTAAAAACAAAACCTTTTTATCATTTTCCCCGTAATACATTAGTGAATTAATTCTTTGAATTAACTTTACCCACTGCAGATAACCTCAAATTAATGAGAAATAATTGTTGTTGTGGTTTTTTATGCACCAGTACTCGGGTTCGATTCCCGGCGGGGGAATGACAACAGTAACAACTTTTCCTTATTAATTTGAGGTTATCTATAGTGGAAAAGTTAATTCAAAAGAATTCAGTAATGCATTGAATCTAACCCTACAAAAAAATAAAAGTTTCCAAGTTCATTCACTAGTTACATGAAGAAAAGCGAATTTTGAATGAATCAACAATTCCTCTTCTACTATAGGTAAACTTTAACCCTTGCAGCCCTTGACATAATGAATAAGCAGATGATTAATATTGCTAAAAGTGAAAAATTATTTTGTGTCCTTTTTTGTAGGCGCATCCGAAATTTAAATACCAGTATCAGGTCCACGACAAGAAAACAAAAGACATCAAGTCAAAGAAGGAAGAAAGGGAAGGTCACAAACTGAAGGGCGAGTACAAACTGCTCCAGCCTGACCACTTATGGCGTCACGTAAAATACAGTTCGGATAAAAAGCAAGGATGGGTCGCCCACGTGACCTACTCGAAAGGATAATGAAAATGAAAATCAAAATGGCTGTAATTCTGCAATGATCCGTTTCGTCATTACAGAATATCATTATAAGGAGTCCTATGTTTATACCTCGGTTAACGATTGTTTTTTGTAGTTTGTATAATAGTAGGTTATAGAGTCGTTGTTATTGTTATCGAGTTCCGCATATTTATTTTATTAACTTTATTCGACGAAGAATAAATGTAGTTGCAAGTTTACGAATAATTTTATTTAACAGAGCTTTAATTGTAAGCTACCGGCATCGTAGCGCCTTCTGGTGATATTTGCAGATAGTTATGAGGTAATTGGCTATCTCCTTTATTAATTTGCTACAGTCGTATTCGCTAGGTTTAAATTCCCTTTTATTTTAAACTGGTGGTTGATTCGCGAACACAATCGCTGAAGTAATTTCGAACATTCCAGAATATTCACGATTATTCCGAAGAATATTCTAGATAAGGACCACTTTGGGAACATTCAAGAATATTATTTTAAGTGGATTACTAATGTAGTGCCAGAAGGCAACCTTATCACTGATACAATGATTCTCGAACATTCTAGAACGTTCTTGATTATTCAGGACCAGTTGACATCTTAGAACATTTTCCCTAGATATTCAAGAACATTCCAGCTGAAGTTGATGCTACAAATATTATACGACAATCTTTGCAAATCTTGCATATTCTAAACGGGTGTTCAGTGGTCGATTCACAAACATAAATGGACGCAAGACTCAAGAAATCCCGAACATTCCATAACGTTTACGATTCTTTCGGAGAATATTCTAGAAAGGGACCACTTTAGGAACATTTAGGTATATTCTTTTGAGTGGATTATTAATGTATTGCCAGAAAACAACCCCATCACTCATACAATAGTTCTCGAACATTCTAGATCATTCTTGATTATTCTCGTCCAGTTGACATTTTAGAACATTCTCGCTGGACATTCAAGGACATTCCAGTTGAGGATGATGCTACAAATATTAAACAATAATCTTTGCAATTCTTGCATATTCTAAACGGGTGTTCAGTGGTCGATTCACAAACACAAATGGACGCAAGACTCAACAAATCCCGAACATTCCAAAACGTTCACGATTCATCCAGAGGAAATTACATATATAGATTATTTTAGGAACATTCAAGAATATTTATTTAAATGAATTATTAATGTTGTGCCACAAGGCAACCCTATCACTTATACATTTATCCTCGAACATTCTAGAACGTTCTAGATTATTCAAGTCCAGTTAACATCTTAGAACATTCTCGCTGGACATTCAATTATTACTTATTAATGTCAATCTTTAAACAAAGCGTTAAACGGTATATTAAAATGAAATAATTATAGAATGAATATCTTAAAACTTATTCAAACAGTCGACGTTTTCAGATAAATTTCTTTTTATTCTTTAGTTCTTTATATTTCCCATTCTCATGGCGAAAAAAATGTATAAACAAAGCAATATTCATTTGGTGCAAAAAGAGGAGATCTCACAACTATTTAAATGAACTTTCAAAATGCAAGTAGATACCTAACTTTTCATCATCATCATAAGGTCGTCAGTCCTAAGATTGGTTCTACATGCACCTACACTTTGTCCTATCCTGAGCTAATCTTCGCATTTCCCTAAAACTACAACATCCCACATCCTTAACCTCAGAAATCGCTGAACAAACAGAATAGCTCAAAACCCCAACGCCAAAACACGACACTGTAGTTGTCCGAAGCACTTTTCGGTAACAAAGTTACCTTCTTCAGGGACTGAAGNTATAGATTATTTTAGGAACATTCAAGAATATTTATTTAAATGAATTATTAATGTTGTGCCACAAGGCAACCCTATCACTTATACATTTATCCTCGAACATTCTAGAACGTTCTAGATTATTCAAGTCCAGTTAACATCTTAGAACATTCTCGCTGGACATTCAAGAACATTCCAGCTGAAGATGATGCTACAAATATTAAATAAAAATCTCTGCAATTCTTGCATATTCTAAACAAGTGTTTGACGGTTGGTTCGCAAACACAAACGTACACTACACTGAGAAATATCGAACATTCCAGAACGTTCACGATTCTTCTAGAGGATATTATATATAAAGATTATTATAGGAAAATTCAAGAACACACCTTTAGGCGAATTCTCATTTATTTTAATGTAAATGCCTTAATATGGTATCAGTAGTCAACTCCATCACTCACACGATGGTCCTCGAACATTCTAGAACATTCTTCGTTTAATTTTTCTTTCTTTCAATGCAGAATATGTGCTCTAACCCCTTAACTTCTTGATTATCCCATTCATCGTATTTGGTTTTTATTTAGATATATGCAAAAGACTTAATTATCCCGTTGGTTGTTCAATCAAAATCAATCATTGAATAAATAAGAACCCAAGAAGAGAACAATAATGGATATCATTGTAATTTTTTATCTTCACCGGGATAATCGTTTTATGCTGAACCCGGGCGTGATTTTAGTGCGACCCTGGTCATCAATAAAGGAGAGTAGTGTGCACCAAACGAACCGTGTAATCGTCCGGCTTTGCTTGATAGACGGTACACCGAGAATCCACTACTTGAATTCAGTCGAAACCGTGCCAAATTCAATCAATTTGGGAATTAGTTATGCAAGTGTTTTCGAGCGGTTCAACTCACTCTCGGACACGCGTTACCGCTTCGCATTACGTTTAAATGCAAAGCAATCGCCGCGTTTTACAGTCCTTGGCTCTAATTGTCCGTGCAAACCCCCCAATAAGAGATTGCGGACTGAAAAGCCACAGGCACAGTTACCACATGTACATGGTATATACCTATATATATATATATCTAATCATACAATAATGAAATAATAAGATAACTGACTGAGATCGTTAAAGATATTAGAGACGTAGGCGGATTTTATTTGCTCTAAAAGGATTGCTGAAAGGCATCGATTAATATTGGATAATAAGGCGACTGTTGTGGAAATAACAACTTACGATTAGTTAAATCGATCTCGAATTTAAAGAGTTCAGTTCCGCAGGGGAAATTTTCTATGATGGTAATAATTTCGCTTAAAAATTCGAGGTTATCAATTTCGAATCGTATTTTGGTGCAAGAAATGCTGATAGTCCATTACATAATTCAATCTGTGCCATTTCAACCTCTGGTACACCACTATACCTAAATGAACATATTCTCAGAAACTGAGGGATTCATGATAACGATTCAAGACAAAATACTATGAAAATATATTATTAAAAATCCCACAATTTCGTCGGACACATGCCGAGCATGCAAAACATCTCGCGAAACAATTGATCACCCACCGGGGGTTGCTCATTTTTAACCAGCCGACAATACACCGGCAGGCATAATAATGTTGCTAAACAGATACACTCCCTGTTAGCCAAAAAGTTTAAACTCATACATCAGATAGAACCGTACTATAAATACAAACCACAAAATGTATTTAGAAAACCACTTATTAGTCTTAAACAAAAACATCTTGAGAAAATTCAAAAACATATTCCTCTGGCTGTTGAAATAAAAGAAATGTGTAATCAGAAAACAGTTCGAATTGTTTCAATAATAATATCATCAATTGTACCTAAAACATTACACGCTAGCCTAGCCGAGTTGAAACTGCATAATCTTATGTATATAAGTCTACAAAAATTAGTAATCCTTGGTACATGCGGAATAGTACGAAGATTTCTTAATAGTACTGACAAATCCCCCTTTTAAAAAAAAATCGGTTGTCTGTAAAATCGGTTTACTGACGATAGTTGAACATGACAACGTCATAAGAAAATACTGATGGAATGGTTTCATTTTTCAAAAGAAAATTTTAATTTTATTTGTTTGATAGATATTTTGTATGGACATAGAGGAGGTAAATGGAAATGTATTATTGTATAGCAGCTGTCCACGCGCTCACTCAAGTAGGAGAGAGACAGATGTCGAACGCTGCCAGACGCGGAGGCCGATTGTGCCTCTTTGTCGCTCGTTCCGCGCTCTCGCTTGCACTTCAAGCCTTAAATGCAACGCCTCAGAGCGAGGTAACGCCGCATGAGTCATGTTTTTTCGTGCGTACAGCCGGCTCCATCGAATTATAAGACGTTGTCACGTCAAAAACACAGCAAGTTAAATTAGAACCGGAGTTTTTAATAATCAACGATCATATTTCAGGGCAAGAAGTATTGTTAGCTCTATAAAATTTAAGAACAGAAAATTGGTTTCCATATCATATCCCGAAAGATGTGAGTGAAGTTCTTTAGCATTAGTCCGTCTTCACTTGCTCAAAGTTAACCAGTGAAAACTGAGAAAACTAGGAAAATAAATGCATAAAAAATACCTTCTAAAGATAATATTATTCAAATATTACGTCTTGTGAGATATCTTTTATATAAACAGGACTAATAAAGAGAATTTACCGCCTTGGCGCCGCGTTTAAATTATACCTACAATTAGGTGAATATCAATAAAAAAAGAATGGAGACTGCAGCGCTTTATTTTTTATGTTCGCATATTATACTTATTAACACCGGTTGCTTAATTAAGAAGAACGCAAGATAATGACATAAGCCATTAGAGGGTGTAATTACATTAGCCTTCGTCTATGCGGTTTCTTAATGCGTATAACAGTTTTCATTTATGCAGAGAGCTAATTTATGACATGGCGAAATTCTTTTTTTTTATGTGTAGACCGTTTTCAACAGTGGCCATTATAACAGTTCGTAATAAAGGAACCGCATTCATATTTCAAACGGCCGACCGTATAAAGTATAAACCAACCGACGCCATATAATACTTCCTAGGTATGTAATTTCATTGCGCTCTGGAATCAATTTTATGAGAGGTTACATTTCCAGATTATTACCGTATGGCAAATGGCTTATCAAACACGGGGGTAAAATTATTATTATTATTGTGCAATACTGTCTAGATATGAATACATAGGGCAAATATTACGCTACACAATAATAACTGCGACATTAAATTTAATAGAATTTCATATTTTTATTGTACTGCAGTTTGCAATGTCGGACTTAGTTTACACCTCTATGGATTCATTAATTAATACAACTGGTAAAATTTTGAACAAAATGTTA